CTTCTTTTGTTGCCCTGTATGGGAGAATGGAGCTGGAAAGCAGATCAGTGGGGTGGGGAGGGAATGGGGATTTTGCAGTATCCTTCCCCAGGAGTGAGCTGGGAATGAGGATTTTGCAGTATCCTTCCCCTGCCACGCCCACCAAGCCACGCCCACAGAACCGATATTTTTAAAAAAATTGAACCCCACCAACTGAGTCTCTCCCCTGGTACAGCTGACAAAGTGGGGAGAACCTGTGGCTTCGAGGTTAATACATCTACCAAATATGCAAGCAGTCCAGATTCGAATCCCAGATGTGTATAGCTAGCTGAGGACAGCTAAATAGCTTGCAATCGATCTATAGTAGTCTCCCTTTATTTTGTTTGTCAGTAAATATAAATTTAACACAAAACAGTTTGTCGTGCGAAGGCTCCTGGATTGGGGCTGAAAGGCGAAAGTGGAAGCGGTATGCTCCGTCAAATATTTGAGTAGACCAGGTTGGAACAGTTGGAAACTTTACAGAAGATCCAAAGTCACAATAAGGAGGAATTTCCTGGCTTTAAGCAGTTGGCTTCCTGCATTCCCAGCGGCTTCATCGCTGGAGATTTTGCCAGCAAAGATTGAAATCCATTTGTATGGAATGTTTTGGGAATTCCTGCCCTACAGAATCACAAGTTGGGAGATCTAGTTTCTCAAGACGCCTTCTGACCCTCAAATTTCTACGTTTCCCAATTGAATGTAGAAAAACAGAATGTTATTCGAAGGGACCTTGGAGGTCTTCTAGTCCAACCCCCTGCTTAGGCAGGAGACCCTACATCCCTTCAGACAAATGGCTATCCAACATCTTCTTAAAGACGTCCAGTGTTGGAGCATTCACAACTTCTGGAGGAAAGTTGTTCCACTGATTAATTGTTCTAACTGTCAGGAAATTTCTCCTCAATTCTAAGTTGCTTGATTAGTTTCCACCCATTGCTTCTTGTCCTGCCTTTAGGTGCTTTGGAGAATAGCTTGACTCCTTTGTGGCAACCCTTGAGATATTGGAAGACTGCTAT